TCCTGCTGTGGGTCAAGCCGAACAGCACCTCCTGGTACCTAGACTTTTGCAAGGTCACCTAAACTTAGACTTACATAGATTCTTCTATTATTATAAAATATTTGATGAGTTTTTTTTTCTTTACCAGCATTGGTCAGAACCATTATTTTCTGTGTCATATGAAAGAGTCTCCAGCAATTTCTGTGTCTAAGAGCAGAAGTCACAGCCCGTTGAAGCATAATTGTGAAATACTTTTTTTTTAAGTTTAAGTGGTCAACATTTGGGTTTTTTTCCCCAAAACTCTTCTTCTGTTTTAGTTGGCTCCATTGTTCTTAATTTCTTGCTAAAGATTCAGTAAGCTTCCCTTCATGCCAGAGGCAGTTGCATTTCAGCAACAAGTAAAAGTTGGCCCTCTGTGGGCCATAATATATGCAATGTAATATAATATAATATACATAGATACAGACTTAATTCTGCCATATCACAGACTGTTGGAATTTTATTTGTGGTTAAAACTTACTGAAAACTGTGTAGCTGTGTTTAAATACGAAACTTAAAGATCTAGGCTATTTTCACCTCATGTTCTTCACAAGTAAAAATTTTTAATTTAGCGGGAACCTTATCTCTGCCTTTGCTGTCATGCAAAAATCCCAGGAACACTGGGAAGACGTCATAGTGCACAGGGACCAGGGATAAAGGGATTCTACAGGCATAATATTTATGTCTCTCTGGTAATGATAGTATGTGGTAAAATTACAGTTGCCTGACCAAGTATCCATTTTTGTACCTTAATGTTTTGTGTTTTAAGTAAAATTAACCTTGAGTATCCTAGGTTTATAATGCCTAGGTCTGAGTCTACAGTCTGCATAGCTGACTGCAAATGACTGATGTGTGCTCTGAGCTCTTAGGTACATTTAATACAGACTTTTCCAGGGGGTTCTTTTGCTTTTAAAAATTTCATCTTCTCTTGAATTCCCAGCTGTTTCTTGTACATTCACCATGAATTTCAACCACCCTGTTGTCTTCTTTTCCCCCACGTATGCACTGTCTCTTGCCAACATACCCCTTTGTTGTGACCTGCTGCATGAACGCAGATTCCATCCTCTTTTTACATGCTTAAAATGTGATCAGTATCAACCCCTTTTAAAAATTGCTGCCATCTTCTATTGTTCTCATGGGACTGAAGCCACCTAAGGTGCTTCAGGGATTAGTTGCCTCGCTTCCTTTACAAGCAGCAATTTAACAGCATTCTCAGTCCTCAGCGGTTTAATTGAAAACCTACTACTTTCTGTCGAGGTGAAAACAGACAGATATAACTTCAAAAATCAAATTTCAGGGAATGAAAGATCACAAAAAAGTCTCATCACTTAGGCTAGAATTTATGAAAGCATGTTTATTTTGGCAAATGTTTCTCAAAAGCAGGTTCATTTTTATCCTCTCTACCATCTGGATTTTGCTGTGAGGTGTCAGAACACAGTTACTCCGAGTTGGCTTAGAATTGGATTTCTGCCAAAATTTTGTGCATTCTCCTCTCCTGCCACCCACGCCTCCACTTTCTTTCTCCTGGTTGTAGTAGATTTTTCCTTATGTTGATCTGAGTGAGTATTTCATTCTTACTTCTTGGTGCTAAAGAAAATAACAAGTTTAGAAACCAGGGGGATGCCAAGTTTTAAAACCTGAAGAGAATAAAAGACGACTGCTTTCTTTAGCATATACAGTCTTACACTTACTTCTTCTTAATATAGGCACGTGTAGTTCAGGATTTAATTGTAAGAATTTTTAACCCACTAGACCAAAAGCTTTTTTGGTTTGTTTTCTCCTGAGTCTGGGCTAGTTGATTCTTCTACACTCCTGCTAATTTTTTTCTGTCTTGGTAAAGGGTCTTCTCTCCTATCCCTCCTTTGATTTAAATTCCTTTCCTAGTTCCAGCCAGATGTTTGGTTTCCCCCGCTGTTGACAGTCAGATAATATTCTCACGCTATCACTTCGTATATCCACATTTGCAAGATCTGTCACAAAAAATTCCCAAATTTTTGTCACTGAGTGCCTTACTGTGTATTTTTTAATACTTTCCAAAGGCAAATTCCTTTAATGTCACATGTAAATTTCTTTAAACAGCAAGCAAAGGCAAACCTTCCTGGTTTTCCTTTTCCAGTAAGAAGGGTGTGTTTCTGAGCCACATCTTATGGATGACCTAGAGATTTACTCCACCTTTGCTGAAGGAATGTGGCTAACACTTCAGAGAATTGCAGGAAAGCTTCAGGAGTTTGGCCAAGAAAGATTAAACCGTCAAAAACTAGGCAAAACTTTGTCTTTCCCCCTTTCCCTTGCTTTCATTTCCTACCGTGTTGTGTTGTCCTCTGCATCAGACTATTTAAGACTGCCAAATACTTGGATATTTTATAGGTAATATATCTTATAAATGCCATGGCCAGCCTCTGAGGGAAACACAGGATTGTCGGTTTTGGATGGAGTATAAAACCCAAGCAGGAAATCATTGCTGAATGGCACAGCTGCAGGCAAACATTGTAAGCTAGTAAACTGCCCATCTGCACAGCCACACGTGTGTCGGAGCGCTGGGCCAGGGCGGCCGTGGCAGAGCGCGCCTGTAAGTGGTTAGCAGGGAGAAATTTGATGATTAAAGAATGAAGTGTTTTGCTTCATTAGTTCCTGAAATACAACTATCTGAAGGTGATTATAATCTTATTTTCAAGAAGGAGGAGAGACTGAAGACTAGAGCTTTTCCTCATCTGTAATAAAAAATAAAAGCAGAATTTCAGATCTGGGATCACTTAGGTCATCCCACTGCAAGACAGAGGATGTGACACAACCTACAGTTGAGGACTGAAGGAAAGTTTGTCAAGAAGAAGGAAAACACTGTATTTGTTTGTAGGGCTGAACTGGCAATCACGTCTGAATCTTCCCATGAAAGTTAGAGACAGGAAAGACTGTTTTGGTCCTTAGGTCTGCTTCACTGTCATTGACCTGAACAGGGGCCTGTAGTTATGAGCTACATGGTTCTTAAAGTTTGAACTGTTTAAGATTGCCCTTTGCTAGAGATTTTGCCAACCAAAATCACTTTCAGGATACTCATTCTAGTACTTTCCTTTTTTAATTAACCTATAGTTAGTTCCTAGTTTTGCTGTCTTCTATTCTAAATAACTCCTCTTTCTTTGCGGGTTATCATTTGTTGAGTTCGTCTAGCCAAGCTCTCTGTTAGTTCTCCCAATCCTTTCTCTGAAGTTTAGCACTTCCTCTTATACATGCCAAGTTTGAGTTCATTTTCTGCATGATTTTCCCAAGCACTGCTTTAAATAATCCACAATTCAGTAACTAAATGTAGATTGTTAAAATAATGAAACAACAATAAAAGTCTTTTAAGACTGCATCTCATGCACTCCCAACTGTAAAAACTATTGATTTGTGGATTTTTTCCAAATACTTTATTGAAAAATAAAATTATTTTCTAATAGTCAAAATTAAATTACCAGGGTTATAATCCCATTGTACAGTAGGCTTTCTACACTGATATTTGTCTGTTAGGGAGAGGTTTTTCTTGATTCATTGTAATGTATAAATCAATGCAAGAGGAAGGATAATCTAGTGATCAAGGTCCTTGTTTAAGGCATAGGTGGCTTGGGTTCAAGTCCCTGCTTTATCACAAACCCCTTGCGATTTCTCTGCCTCCTAGTATTGGGGTGTCAAAATAAATATAATAAAAGTAGAAATCTGTACGCAGGGAAGATGGGTATATTGCCAGACGAAGCCTTTGGAAGCTTTCTGTTCACTGATGTATTTTGGGTCGCGGCACCTAAAGAGCTTGAAACTCTTGGGACCTAAAGTTGTTAAAATGTGCTGATTTCTCTTGGTTAAAAGACTGAGTCTTTAAAATGTTCTTGATGTTTCATGTGAGCAGAAGGACATCATTAATATCTGTGTCATAAATATTTTCATTTAAGGATCTGATATTTCACATATCCTTGAGCATTTCCATGGTTTTATCACAAAGAAAAGGAGCTGCTTTGGTTTTTCCTCTATAGGCACTTTATTCTCTCTTGTCCTGTCAATTTATGTCATTTTTTAAACCACATAAAGTGGATTTCAGTTGTTGTCATTACGATGTTGGTACTTTCTGCATTCCATCTGCCCACAAACATGAACTGCGGGGTGATGCTATATTAAATTATAGGCATCTCTGTTAAAATACAGGGGAATTAGTTTTGAAGATGAAACTTTTTCCTTATTTTCAATCTTCCTTTATATTTTAATGCATTAAGGAAGCAAACGAGTAGTGGACATTGTCCTAGTGCCAGATGTCTTGGAGTACCTGGCATTTTGATTCATCCTCATGAAAAATGTGCAAAATGTCTGATAATGTTATGCAAAGAAATGAAGACATGTAAGTCTTAGCATTCATGGATTTCATGTGTGCATCTCCTTCCCCAGGACAATCACATCTCTCCGGAGTGAACTGATTCCACATCTGGTTAGGAAACAGTTCTCTTCTCCTACATCGTTGCAGCAGGGACTAGACAACAAAGAAGAGGACCAAAAGAAAAAAGAACAAGCATCCCTAGGTCAGTACACGTATCAGAGATTTGCTGAAGATTTTAAAGCCCATATGCTACAGCTGAATTATTGGGTAGAGTACAGAATTAGCCTGAAACACTAGTTTGGGGATTTGTTTTTTTTCTCTTATACTTCATGATAACAAAGATTCTAGTAGATTTCTTTTTCAAACAGTATTGTGCATTATATAAATATTTTTGTCCTCCCTTATTTTAGTGTAAATCAAAAGCAAATCAGCTAGATGCTCTGTATTTTTTCTTCTGGAATACAGTATAGGTGAATGCTTTTTTGAAAATGTAATTTTAGGAGGGAGTTCCTAAAATTGCGTAGGGCAACAGACTAAGCCTTAATCACACTGCACTGGGAACTGGATAGGATCTCAGATCTTGGAATTTATTTTTAACATTTCCGCTATCTCCTTTTGTGACCTTGGGCAAAACATTGCATCTGTCCTGATCCCTTGATTCGCACCTGCAGAATAAAAATAAGTACTTACTCACTACATGTGATAAAATCTGTTAATGATTGCTAAGTATCTAGCCATTCAGATGATGAGGCAAAGATTTCCCTTCACCAACAGTATTTTAATAGTATTCTTCAGAAAGTATTTCATTAAATCCTGTCTAACTTCATGCATGCGTGTGTTCTCCAGACATTTATAGTTTCATAAAGGAAGATAATAGCTTGCTGAAACCTGCTCCAGATAACTCTTGTTGGAATGATCATAGAGGAGATATGAATGAAACTCTCCATGAAGGAAAAGTACGCTGCTACGTCCATATAATGAAAGAGGGACTGTGCTACCGAGTGAATACTCTTGGATTGTATATTGAAGCTAACCGACAGGTGAGAAAAATACAGAACTGCCACATGGGAATACAGCAGTAGTTTAGGGGACATTTTAGCCTCCAGGAGTGGCTCCCTGCGATACAGCTGAGGAGTGTGTGGGAATTGAACCAGTGCCATGTTATCTAGGCACATCACCCTGCTGTTTGCGGGATAGGGACATCAGGCCAGAAAACAGTTCTGTCGCTAATTTACTCCATAGCTTTGACTTAGCTAAGAAAACCCTCACCCCACACACTCTTCTGTTTTTTGGGGGTGGCCAGACCTGCAGCCAAAGAGCCAAGAAGTGTGGAAAATAAGGCTGGAAGTAGCTTTGATAGCTCATTGAATCAATGTCTTCCATGTCCTAAAGGCAAGATCAGTTCTGACTGGACTCTTCCTAACAGATGTTTATCTCAGTGATAATGACAAAGGTTATTAATGTTTTGCTTGAAGACTTAAACTACCCGTACATTCAAATTGCCTGATGCTTTCCGTTACAAAAGAACTGTTTTATGAACAGGTTTCACTACTGTGCCACTCCAGGTAAACACAGAGGTGAAATGTTGATCTGTTGCAGCTTTCACTTTCACAGTACTGAGAATTCATAAAATAAAAGATCACAGCAGAGGATTACAGAAATCCTGTACTGGCTAATGAGCTGATGATTAAAATCTTTTACTATGTTTGAAGTTGGGTTTTTTTTTCCTTTTTACTACACTGACGGATGCAATGTACAAGTTCTCACTTTGCTGTGCTAGTGATGAATTTCGTTGCTATCAGGAGTAGACAGTTTCCTCTAGTTTTGAAAGACCGATAGGGAGTCCAGTGCGGAAAGACTCAAGGTTTCTGGAAGTGGGGCTGGGAGAGCGATAAAGTTGATTTGGGAATCCTGGAAGTGGTCACTGCCTTCCCATTGCTCTCAGATTGAGTTGATTTCTTTTTAATAAAATGAATGGATGAATTTATGCAAATTAGAATTGCAGCATGGCAGAGTGAGTTTACACACTGGAGCTCTTTCTCCTTGGTGCCTGTAGAGCAGCACAGAAATAAAGGGATTTGTTTTGTGGTTAGGGACATGAGGAAGAGAGGAGGGAGGCAGCACTGCTGTCAGAAACAGAAAACTTTCCTCAAGAATATCAGAGCAAGTGTACCCAAAGGGTTAAGGGAGAACACCATTTGCGAGGGGAAGTGTGCGTGTACATTTGGCAGCAGCCACTTCAGTAAAAAGTTATTGAGTTAAGCCAGTCAGACTCCATGTGGGTTTTTTTGTGTTGTGTTTTTTTTTTTTTAACCTAAATATTCTACATTTTGGTCAGTTCAGGAAATGTGTTTGCTCCTGGGTGGTACATAGAATTAGTTTTTTGAAATCACATTGGGGCCTTCAATGTTGGAAAGGATTTTCTTTGAATTTTTAACTTTTCCAGAATGGTAAAATTTCTAAGGAAACTATGTGGAGGTAAAACATAAAATGGAGCTTAATGAGGGCCTGTGAGAAAGGAGTTCCTTTTTTCAGTGCCACTGCATTTTGTTTCTCTTGCTAATCCTCATAAAAGATACACATTTAATTTTATCTGCTTTTTTTTTTTTACCTGGTTTGTTGGTCTCTAAGGAAGACTTTTGGTGTCTTGTTTGTGCTTATCTTGGTCTTCACAGACCAGATTCTGAGTCCCTCACTGCAAAGCCGGGTCTGATAACTTTGCTGTCCAAGAGGACAGACTCATGGAGCAGTACCAATTCAGTCCAGTAGCCGTGGGAAGGAATGGCATCCTAACCCGTTGCCCTTCTGGTGAGGAAACACTTTACTCACATCATTTCACTTCCAGCTGGGTTTCTGGATGCCTGCAGCCTGTGTGTGGGCAGGTGGGTTCAGGAGGGAGTTATCTTCAATAGCAGGAAATAGTTTCTTTGTAAGATGAATTAAATCCAAACACATCTTAAACCTTCCCTTGACCCAGGCACTCCCTCTGACTCCTGCCCCCTATCTAACCTTCCTTTTCAGAGCAAAATACTTGAGCTGGTAGCTTTCTTGGGTCACCCCTCAGGCTGCACTACTATTGACCGATTCTAATAAGGGCTTTTCTGTGGCCAGTAAAATCTTTTATTTATTTCACCACACCATCTTTCCACTGAGAAGGGCAAGAGCTTTTCATCATTTCTTTCCCTTCCCACAGAGCATCAGTGGATAGTAGGAATATTTCCGGCCTTTGCTGTAGGTGTGCTTTGGTGTGTGTTTCTCTCTTGGATCTATCTGTGGTGGCTGCCCAGCTATGTGCCAGGTGAGGACAACATCCCTTCACCAAGCCAGCATCATCCAGGCAGGCTGGCCTAGTTTGTGGTGTTCTGGTGATTTTCTGGTGGTTTTCTGTAGTGCCTGCACCTTGGACTGAAGGACCTAACCTACTCTTGTTTTTTAAAAAAAAAAGAAAACACAAGTCTAGTGGGAAGGGCCATCTTCAAGAAGTAAAGAGCTATAGATGTGGAAATGTCTACTGGGGACAACAGGCAGCCTGAAATGATAGCTCAGAGATGTGAGCTCATCTGAGCTCATCTCGTTCATCTGAATGAAGCATCAGCAGTGAACATTCTTATCGTATGAAAAACAGCACTATTTATCCATCCTTACATGCTGGAAGGGAAACAGGCTGGTCATATGATGAATATCCAGACAGTTTTCTGCAAGTATCATCTCATTTGAGATCTTGAGATTTTTTTTTTTCTGATCTGATCCCAGCTTCTTCAGATCTGTGGGATCTGCTTGTTGAAGTTCACTCCCTAGCCATCAGCTCTTGTTATCCCAGCTTTCTAAGGAAGTAATTTTGTTTAGTCGTACTGCATGGCAGCTCCTTCGTAGCAGCTTTGGCAATTGCTGGCAACTCTCAGCCAAATTTAACAGAGCAATAGAGATCTCAAAGATAAACTTTCCTAAGAGTTTTGTAAAAATAGGTGCCTGGGTAGAGAAAACAGACACTTAATGAGTGCCGCTTCCTTCCCTCAGTCAAACCTAGTTACACCATCACTGTGCTGAGACTCCAGTTGACTTCCCAGAGAGACAGTCAGTGCATGTGTCTGGGCTGGCCCAACAGCGTGTGTGAAACCCCACACCAGCCCCAGCCCATGCTGCCTCTCACTCAGGCCTACGGCTTGCCATGACACAGACCTCTTAGCCCTCATGCATCACTTTGCTGCCTTCTGTATCTCCCGTGTTTCTTTGACTGCCATCTCTGTCCTACCAAGATGCATCATACATTGCATCACCGCTGCAAGCAGCTCTGTACAGCACTGTGGCTGTGCATTGCCGTGAGACTCCCACCTCCCCTGAAATCCCTATCCGTGCTGTCATCACCTCTTCTGTGGTGTGTGACCTTGGCCCCAGCCTGACACCAGGAGATGCAGAATGCCTCAAGCTGCTCTTTCACCCAGAGAAGGAGGAATGATGGAGTGATATCCTATCCTCCTACAATGCTGGCTCCCCTTTCTTTTCAGGAGCCAGTTCAGAATTGCTCTCCATGGATTTGTTGTTGGCTGCCTCATGGACTGTGTCTCTCTCCATTACCATCGCTGCTTTGTCTGTTTATCTAACACCTGCCTTCTCTCTGTCAAGAGCCTTTTCTTCTGCAGCTTTCTACCATCTCGAGTAGCCACTTGATCAACCTTAGTTTCTTTCTCCTTAAACATCTGAAAGAATTTTTCGTTGCCTGTTCCTCAGCATGCTACCTTATTGGGTGGGCTGAACACAGTCATCTTTTTATGCCAGTTTACTGGTTTATATTTTATATTACTTGCTTCCCTCTCTTGCATTACTGAATGTTGTAAAACACATTGAGCAGCATTTGAAATGGCAGATGCTGGACATTGTAATGTACAGGATGTCACTATGAGACGTGCCGTGCACTGCAGTGGAAGCATACCTGTCTCCTTTACAAAAGGGGCAGATGATAAATCACACATACCTGATTGCAGATTTGAAATGCAGGAACTTACATTTTCCTTTAAGTTAAAATCTTTATGGTGGAGGCACTAGTGCAATGGAAACCAAAGACATCTTTGAGCTGTTTATGTAACATGCAGGTACAGCACTGTCGTGTTAACTTGTGATGTGGGTTTTTCCATCCAGGTTCCCAAGCTATTGCTTAATCTGGGTCTGGAAGAGCCGCTGGTTCATGGGTCTGCACAGATCACTGACAGAGGCATGGTGAGTGTTCCCTTTCCCCATCTCTGCTCTTTCAATAGAGTCTGAATGCCCTTTACTTCAAGAACTGCTTCCTAAAATTCAGTCTCTCTGTTGGAAGAAGTATGGAATTACAATGTAGGTGTGACAGCCTGGAGTCTCCTCGTAGGCTCACCCATGGGTTGCTGCCTTTCAGCCTCTGTCTTTAAAAACGTTTGGTAAAAATTCTATCTTTCTCCCAAGTCAGCCACTGCAGTCTCTTGTTCCGTAATGGCAGTTCATGGTACTTGAGCAGTCTGTCTCCCAAAGGACACCAGTCTCAGAAGGGGTCAGTATTTTAGCTCTGCTTCTTGCTAAAGCATTTCGGTTGAATAGCAACTTCAAACCTCTTTTTCACAGGTCTCACTTAGCAAACCTTAGTGAAACCAGTGAGTACCAACAGGACTATTTCTTAATGTGATTACCTTACTGTGTGAGGCCTACACAGCTGGACCAGCTGATGGAGTTGTACCAAGCTAAAGGACTTGGGAAGAATGTCCAACTGTCTGCCTATGGGATGACCCACAAATCTCTAGGTCTTTCCTCTGCCAAGGGTCCCTAAGGGTAGAGCAGGGTGCACTTTGTTGATGATTGCTTGAAATGTGCTGTTCGGAAGAGACACGTGTCAGAACACGTATGGAGAACACGTATCAGAGAGCTCCAGGTGCTTTTGCCAGCTTCCATTCTTTTCTTCCCTAGGTTGGATCGGACAGCATCATTGGGTCATCCACACAAGTTGGGGAGAAGACATCCATTAAACACTCCGTCATCGGCAGCATGTGTACCATAAAAGACAAAGTTAAGATAACAAACTGCATCATCATGAATTCTGTTACAATTGAGGAAGGGTATGTCACCTCTTTGTATCTCAGTCTCCTAAATTTGTGGTTTCGTTTTCGAGATAGGTTCTGAGTCAGTAATTTTTGTCCTATAAGCAATCCTCAGCCAGAACAGTTGATACCAGGGGGTGTATTTCTAAAGACCGAGCCAGAAATAAGTCTCTATAAACAGGCTACACATGCACAAGTGAAATGAATTAATGAGAGGGCTGCAGTCTTGGAACATAAATTTCTTCTTTTTAGAGGGGATTGTATAATCTTCAGAATGTGTGAGTAAGTTAAGTGGATGTATGAGCCTGTATGAGCTTGTGTGTCATCCTTCCAAGCTCTATTTTAGTGGCTGGGTCTATGAGTATACCTAAAATATTTGAGGCACAAAGCATATTTTAAAGTGGTACACTTACCAACTAGAAAAGTTCTTATCACATTTGAACATTAGAGCTTCACCTAAAACATCATTTTCTTTGGCCCTTTGTTGTCATCTTGCAGCTTTACTATACCATTGCATTTGCTGAGTAATAGAATAAATGAACAAACTTTTCAAAGAGAAAATCTGCCAGCTAGTAGCGGTTTCCCATGCATTAAAGACACTAACTAAATAGATAGGCTTGAGCTGTACATTTCCAAATGTGGGAAAAGTGGCCTATCTGTAATTGTTGATGTCTGCATGCCCCCATCTTTCCATACATGCTGGCTTCCTGTGGATGTCAGTGGAAAGGAAACTGCTGATTGAGTCTGTGCAGGCCTGTATAAATTCCCTGCTCCTTCATGGCTTGAGGTTTGCTTAGAGCCTCAGGAAAAAGTCCAAACTCTTAAAAAATGCCAAGTTGGCTCTGGAAGTTACATATCTGAAAAACAAAAAACCCCAAAGGATGTGAGGTCTATGGAGGATACTACTGTTACATAACTAAATTACAGGTAAGTATGGTACCTTACTGCCAAGTGTTTGTCTTTTATAGAAATCCACAGTAATTTCAAGCACATCATAAATCAGAGTTCCGTTGAGTATAGAAAATAGTTGGTTTCCAGTTCAATCACAAATGGATCCAGTATGGCTGTATTATACGTACTGCTGTCATAAGAAGTACCGGAACCTCTCTCATTTGATCATAAGACCCTCTGTCATTTTGATTAATGAATTGATGCCACAGTCATAATGGTATGGTTTTGCATATGAGCTGAGCGACTCTACCATTAAATCACAGAGGCAGCTAAGTGTATAAATAGTGCTATTTTTATGAAGAGTCCCAAATCAGCTTGTGTTTGTCTGCACTGGTATATAGTAGTATTCTCTTCTAAATCCGAAGTTGAGCTCATAGTCGTTATCTTAAGCATACCACAAAATTCCACAAGCATCATAAAGATGGTGATATATTATTTTTTTAAGAGGCATAAACTAACTTTTGGGGTAAGATTTTTGTGAATTTCTGGAAAACAATGTTATCCCTAGTCACTCTCAGTGAAAACAATGTAGCCACCATTGAGTGGAAAGACCTCATAGTCCCAGGGGTTTACCCCCTTTGGCTGCTCTATGGTTATACTGCACACTGATGCGCTGGAGTCAAATTTGTAATTATTCCTCTCCAGCCAGAATTAAGACTATAGACCATGGAGCTTTATTTCAAAGCATACTGTAATTTATATTGTGTAGATCTGCACAGATAGTGAGCTGATAAAGTCTTTCTTATTGCATCATGGTAAGTCTTAAGATTAGAGGGGTATGAAGTCATGCATACACAGGTAGCAAGATACAGAAATACTCTAGCTGCTGAATTTTGTTGAAAGAAGTCTTGCTCATAACTTCATGAAGAATTTCTATGTATTTTGACACTCTAAATGAGGTTGATTAAATCTGATAGATTTTTGTTAAAATGCTAATGATTCTTACACATGTTGATGGATCCGTTGGCAACAGGTGAATAAATTATATGTGGTTTTGCTTTAAACTGCCCACAATGGACAACTTCTCTTTACAAACATCTCTTCTCTCAAGTGTCTCTAAAATGATTTGGGCTTTATCTAATCACCGACTTCTGAAAATGTCTTGGACTTTAATTGGAAATTCAGTAAATGTTGGCTGGTACAGGCCAAAATGAGCATAATAAAGTGCCTTAACAGATCTAATTCATTTTTTCTCGTATAGCAAATGTCCAACAAGTAAGCCAATTTTAACACTGTCTGAGGTATTGTATGTTAGAAACTTCTGGAATTGCACTGTCATTTAAAGAACATACATTTTAATGCTGACATGAGCAGTTCCACTAAACTAGTGGACTACTATATTAATGCCGTACTCAAATATGAGTGGTAACTGAAGGCTAGTCCCAGCAGTGTTCATTGCAGTAATACCAACTTGAAGCAGTAGGCTGAGAAGAAGACTGCAATAGGGCACATATTATGGAAAAGACAAAGCTGTTTAGGTAACCCAGAGAAGAAAGAAAGATCAGGTAGATCATTTCTGAAAGTCAAGAGACTGAGAACAACCCAATGCAAAAATTGCTTCGCTTTCTAAGTTCATTTATCAAGAGCTATGATTGTACATGGCACCGCCTTGGTAATTCCCTTACCACTTACATCACTTCTAGCTTTTCTGGGTTACATCTTACCTTTTTTTTTTTTTTTTTTCCCCACCTCTGCTGCAAAAGTAATCAGTAGCTTCAGTTCACTATGTTAATGTAGAGAAAAAACCAAAACCCAAAATGACAACAAAAAAAACCAAAAAAACCTAGGTTTGTCTCTTAATGGTTTTCATGTAATGTGATTTGAGGATCCTGTGGCACAGTTCCTGCAGCTTCAAGATCCAAAAATTACATCTCCAAACCAGAAACCACCTCTGCTGCAAAAGTAATCAGTAGCTTCAGTTCACTATGTTAATGTAGAGAAAAAACCAAAACCCAAAATGACAACAAAAAAAACCAAAAAAACCTAGGTTTGTCTCTTAATGGTTTTCATGTAATGTGATTTGAGGATCCTGTGGCACAGTTCCTGCAGCTTCAAGATCCAAAAATTACATCTCCAAACCAGAAAAAGGTTTTGAATAGCCTCACCACATTTGATACGAGCTTCTGAAATGGTTAAATAAATTCTTTCTGGGCAGATGGGAACACCACAAGGTGCTTAGAACAAAACTAAGTTCCTGTTGTTAGGCTGTGGTTGGTTCGTTATTGGAGAAACAGAGGTTATGACCTAGGTGATGATGACCTTCCCAACTGAATGGATCGAGGAACTGGGGTCAGCTTGGACAGTGCCATTGCATGCTGTTTGCAAATTAGGATCCATTCTCCAGCAATGACTGGTGTGTTTGATACTCTGGAAGACCCGTAGCAGGGTTTTTTGTTTTCCCTGGTGTGTAGGGCTTCTGTAATGTTATATATGTCTCCTGTGAAGTAATTTAAGTAGATATGAATCCCCCCTTAAAAGAGATTACAGGGGATTAAAGAAGTTAGTAACACGGGCAAAATAATTGGTAGTCCTTTCTTAATGTGTTTCCCACTGTGCAGCTAATTCTTCCGTCAATGAGACAATAAAATAGTAAAGATTACATATGTGCTGAATGATGGACATATTTGACCAAGCTGGGAGGGATGTAATTTATACAACAGCACAAGTGCTGAGAGATGCTGACTGCCCAGGTGACAGGCGGCAGCGGGGAAATGGTTCTTGTTTCCCTCTGGACGTCTCCCTGGAGCTCAGTGACAAATGACTGCACTGAATTACATAGTTGGAGAAAATCTACTAATTGAGCTGAAATTATAGGTCACTTGAAAACTTTGTATATCTGAATGCTCCTGCAGTAGCTGTACATGTCCTCAGTCTCTATAGTAGCTTGGAGCTGCCTCCTCTGTTTGTTCTGTTTGAATCAGAGGTGGTGCAGTACAACAGGGTCTCTGGATTGCTATGTCTTTGGTCCAGGAGTCCTCTCATTAAACTCACTTGCAAAGGAGCAACCGCTAACACTGGCAGACTGATTGAAGCTGCTAATGTAGAGAGATTTGTGCCATTTGCAAATGAAAAGTGATGTCTGATAGATTTACTCCCCCTGATGAGCAAGACTGGCAAACTGGTAACAACAGACAAGGAGAAGGCTGAGGTACTCAACAACTTTTTTGCCTCAGTCTTCACTGGTAGTCTCTCTTCCCATACCTCTTGAGTGGATGGACTGCAAGATGGGGCTCGGGGAGCAAAGTCCCTCCCACTGTAAGAGATCAGGTTCGTGACCACCTAAGGAACCTGAACGTACACAAGTCTATGGGACCTGATAAGATGCACCCAGAGTCCTGAGGGAATTGGCTGATGTAGTTGCCAAACCACTCTCCATGATATTTGAAAAGTCATGGCAGTCAGATGAAGTCCCCAGTGACTGGAAAAAGGGAAACGTTGCACCCATTTTTAAACAGGATGGAAAGGAGGACCCAGGAAACTACTGACCTGTCAGTCTCACCTCTGTGCCTGGGAAGATCATGGAGCAGATCCTCGTAGAAGCTATGCTAAGGCACATGGAGGACAGGGAAGTGATTCAAGACAGCCAGCATGGCTTCACCCAGGGCAAGTCCTGCCTGACCAACCTAGTGGCCTTCTATAATGGAGTGACTACATCAGTGGACAAGGGAAGAGCTACAGATGTCATCTGTCTGGACTTCTGTAAGGCCTTTGACACGGTCCCCCACAGCATCCTTCTCTCTAAATTGGAAAGATAGGATTTGATGGGTGGACTGTGGTGGATGAGGAATTGGTTGGATGTTCACATCCAGAGGGTAGTGGTCAACGGCTCAATGTCGACATGGAGATCGGTGACAAGTGGTGTCCCTTAGTAGTCCATATTGGGACCGGTGCTGTTTTATATCTTCATCAATGACATACACAGTGGGATCGAGTGCACTCGCAGCAAGTTTGCAGACAACACCAAGTTGAGTGGTGTGGTTGACATGCCTGAGGGACAGGATGCCATCCAGAGGGACCTGGACAAGCTCAAGAAGTGGGCCCATGTGAACCTCATGAGGTTCAACAAG